GGTTGAGGATTTATAGAGCACTTTTAAAAGGAGGGCAACGAATGTGCACGTGAAGATTGGATTGGGAATATCTTCAAAACTCCATTTGAAATCTAGCGGTACGGCTGACAGCGCAGTAGCCAGGGACAGTAATAGGACTGCCCTATCAATAAACGAATTGTTGTGGGTATGGGCAAATCTAAAAAGATTTGGCGTCTTCAAACAAAGGTAGTGGGACCTCCATCCGAGGTGAAAGGTCACACCCGGAATCATCGCTCTGTGCTTACTGCGACTTCGAGCTTACTGCGACTGGGAGTTGCTTCCCACGTTGCTGAGAAATGTGAAGCAGCTGTCTTCTCGTCTAGGTGGATGACTTTCGAAGTAGCCGAGGCTGTTCTTTTCTATTTCGAAAGGGAGGGGTTGCTCAACTGATGAACTGACGCCTCTCCAAGACTTTTGCGATAAGTTTTCTATTCGTTCTCCGGTTCTGAATCACTCGGACTGGCCAATACTTAACTAGCGCTAATTTATCGAGTGCTAGCACTAGCCTTGACGGCACAGTTCACTATGAAAATTGTTTCTGAGATTCCTTCCCTGGATGTACCTGCGATCTTCAAGGATAACGTAAGAGACGCTGTCGGGTCAAAAAAACGGCCAAGATAGGGCGTAATAAGGGCACTAAAACCGGCCTAGCCGACGTATGCACCCAAGGCGGCCAAGTTTTCACTGCGATGTAGAGGCCGCCTTGGGTGCATACCACTCGCACCGGGACAAGCACGTTGCACCCTGGCGGCGCACTGTAGCCATTGTACGCAATTGCACTCGTTTGGACAGCTCGTCCGAATATCCCTTCCATGCAACTTTCTCATCCAACCACTGATTTTTTCGTTTTGAAAGCCTTAAATTTCTCTGGATGCGCCGAGTTCCGCGCTTTTGCGCTGTTCAGGACTATCACTCGACTAAAGTTGAATAAGCCAAAATTATTGTGAGCTGTGTCTTTCAGGAAGTAAGGGATTTCGCTGGCATAAGTCCGCGTTTGCTGGAGAGCATCCCCTAGTACACTTTGGCATTAACATAGCGGAAAATTGCTCGAGCACGACTTTTCAGTATGGAGGCCTTCATCGTGAAGACAATCGCGAAGCGTCTGTGATTGATCCTCGAGGGAAATCTTCTAATTACATGCTGGCATGTCATTGTTATGCCAATACAATACAAAGATATTATTTGGCTAAGATTGTATGATCAACTAATGACGCATTTCTCCACCTCTCAGGTAGAAGCCTTTGATTTTCGAAAAAATCCAGGAGTTCTCGGTTCGAATAGCCCAACTTGAAGTCCAACTAGATCTTCATAAAGAAGTAGAATGAAGTACACGCGACAACGACCGTTTCATCTTCCAAAACTGTAGCAGAGGCCTATTTCAGTGCTTTAAACGGGATAGATAAACGGGGAACGGGATATCCCAAAGGACTGGCTCAAGCAGCAATTCCTTAAAAGTGAAAAGCTCCCTGAATTGCTGCGAAGTCGAAGAAATAAATATAACATTGTAGACTTGTAGAACAGAAGCCAAGTTCCGCATGGCAAAACGAGACCAAAATATGATAATTTGCTCATACAAGTGATATTTCACAGCAAAAAGTCCATCACTCATCACACTAAATAGTAAATTAATTTGAAGGCACAGTTCACCAAACAAAAGGTTTCTAAAATTTTTCCATACGATGAATTTGGGGACCGCCTTGATACCTTACGTGCCAACATGAAGTCTAGAAACGTCCTGAATAGGACACAGTAAGGGACCAGAGATTGTATCGTGTGAATGCCACACCTACAGTGGACGAGTTTTAACGGCGTTGTAGAAACTGCACTATCTCAAGGGACTGGTGGAAGCTCAAACTACTTGTCATGAGCCATGGCGAGAGTGCAGTATTAGACAACTTTGACTTGGTGTGGTCAACTCTTTATGCAATTGTAACAACTGAAATCTCGCCCGAATATCCATTCCACGCCACTCCGCCCTAGAAATTTCGTAGAAACTCTATTTTCGCTTCTCTTGGAGAGCCTCGTTTTCCGTGAAGTAGGCGGATTCTCTCCCTTTTTTCGCCACGGATGCACTACGTCAATGCTTTCGCTTCTCAACATGAGATGGGTATCTCATATTTATCGTGAACTGTGCCTTTGTTTTCAATTTTCGTGAAATGTTGTTTGTAAAATTACCCAGTGATTGTTCTCTACAGTAAATGAAGGCTGACTGCACGTTTTGTGTGACTAGCGCACAACAGTGATCAGGAAAAACAAAGCGCAGACCTGCCATCCTCCGGAAGGCCTCTCTCTTGACAATGGCAACGCTTTGATGGTTGAATTGTAAGTTGTATAACCCGCCTTTTTTACGTTCGCCTAGGTCACAAAGGACTAATCACCAAGCTTTGGAGACGTCCTTCCTGAAAAAACTCATAAAAAGACATTTCACGATTGACTTAGTGGAACCACTCCTCCAGGCCACCGCTTGATTCCAGAGGTTTGCAAGTAAGATGGTAGACGCAGCGACGGAAGTAGCCATAATGGGCAAATCGCGTGATATCAGCGAAGTCGTAACCATGAGGGACCAGAGCTCACCCGTTTGCAACCTTTTAAGCTTGCAAAAGGGTGAGCTCTGGTCTCTTATGATTACGACTTCGTTGGTATCACCCGATTCTGAGGTGGGTCACCTCTAAAAATTGCCTTTTCGTCTTTATAGGTTGACCAGGTGAAACCTACGGTGTGGAACCTACGGTTCCGTTTTTGAGGTGACCCATCCACATTCGGGTACCGGAGGAGAATGTAGGTTGAGGGATTTCGGGGATTTGGGAGAGGGGAAGGGGAAGGGGGCTGGTTCTTTCCACAGATCTGTGTCGGCACTATCCAGTTATGCACTACACGTTTGTACGGAATTAGGGGCCGATTGGAAAGCTAGCCATGTCTGGAACTAACTTTTCCGCCGTCCGAAGGTGATGTAATGGTAAGTGGCGCACATCACACAGGGTTGGCTCGGAGATTGGTTTCCGTAAGGCATCCGCCTAGACCAACCATGCATTTAATGTCCCTGGGGTCGGGTAACCATTAGTACTGGTCAGACTCGTCCGAAAAGATAGGAGCTTTGCGTGGTACATCGACTGGTTTATCCAAGTCACTGCATAGGCCCAACAGACAGACACTCAGTGTTGAGGGCATCCCTAAAAGGATTCCTGAAAGGAGAGGAAAGCCAGAAACTTGTTCTTCATTCGTCACAGACGGGGGTCTCTGGATCAGGGAGCAAGAGTTCTCTCGATTCCAACTTTTCGGTTTTGTAATTTTGTTGTAGGAGCCGAGGTGGTGTAGTAGTGGTAAGCACACATTATCACACACGCTTGGTCACCAAACCAAGCCTTCCATCTCTCCGGGGACGGTTAATTGGGAGGATAAAAGCACGGACTGGGGGGGGGGGGGGGGGGGGAGCGTATCCCTTAGCCTGGATTGGTCAACGCCCATAGACTTTTACCTTTTAGTAGTGCTGTAAATAAAAGCTTAGAGAGAGGCCCTGTTCAAGTCTTGTTGCTGACATCAGATGCCATTGAAGGTCCTTTAGTTAAGCACAATATACCGTAATTTCAGTCGTAGCTAGATCACAGGCGCAGCAAGATCACATGGGATATAACGAACTCAAAAAAAGAACTCACCTGAACGACCAGCAGCATAAGCATCATCATAGCCAGTACTAATAAGTGAGTACGCCGTGACAAGTCATATGACTGCAATCAACACAAGTAACGTCTGACTTTAACCCGTATTCAAAACAACTCACCATTTTTTCCAATTTCGGGTCCTCGCCCCGCCCCTCAGCCTACAGCAACTTTCATCCAAGTACCTCTGGGGATTTTTCTACATCACTGTTGTCGGGAAACTGGGAGCCGGTATCTTCTCCCCGAAAACGGCGTCCCGATGTCGTGCGGTTGCGCGCTTTGACAGGGGTTTGAATTCAAGGATAAGGTAGCCGCCGCGTGACCTTCGCCGCTTGCCGTGGGAATTAGGTGGGAAGTTCTGGCACCCGGGAAACTGGGACTTGGCCCTTCAATACAAAAGTCCTGCATTGCAGCAAGCTCCATTCGATTCAAGAATTGGATGAGGAAGCCTTTTTGCATTCATAAAGTCTCTTCATGTCAATAGCGACAACACTCCATCTAACAGCATTTATTTCTGATAGTATAGCTGTTGAATCAGACCATCGCTGATTCAGCAGCCATCCTACCAAAAGTATAAACTCTTACGAAATGCTAGGCGGGTATTGATTCTCCTGCAGGGAACCAAGTGCGCTCAAGACCATAGCGGAGTTTGAAAATTAATCCAGGATGAGTCAAGAAAGAATCCGAGAAACAGGCATTTTTGTGAGACTTCGACTGTTCATGAGTAAATAAGACTGACGAGATACCTGGGACCCATTTGAAGTACCTAGATTCGTGAAGACGGAATGCGAGTTTGCCCAGTTTGAAAGTCAGGGTTTGACGCTTAAAAGCCAGTTAATATGCAGACAAGCATGGTCCAAAGTGATCGGAAACGATAGATGAAGCCCCTCTGATCCAGAGTGGCTATGGCCACGATGGTGAAGACTCAGCGCGAGCCTTGGTAAGGCAGTGTTGGGACTACAAGGAGCAAGCTTGCTAAGACAGCATGAAACGCCCTCAGTAACCCGCACACTGGGCCCAACCGTCTTCGGCGTCGGACGGTACGGCAACCTGAAAGAGGCGAAGAAAATTGGCGCAGAGCGCCTTGGAATTCGGTCCATTGCAGCACTCCCTTCACTGCCAGAGACAGTTTCCTACTTTATACCTACAACGTGAGCTGCGCGATGTGACTACTCGCATTAAGTACCATGTGATTGCGCTGCAAGAGGCCAAGAGCAGGAGTACGTACAACGAACATTTCACCAGGAAGGATGGAACTCTCACCATTCATGGTGAAAGGTTTCCATCGCGAAAGGTCGGCGGTGTTGGTTTCGACGTGCACCCATGTGTCGTCCATCTCGTCCATTCGCACGAAGCGCTTCTCATCGCTTTGCCATCCTATGGCTACGACATACGCACCTGAAGGTCGTCTCTATCGTCGAAGGTTTCTCTCTCTGCTCTACAGCTGACGAAGTAGGGCTTCATGCGTTTTGCGACCAATTTGAGGAGATCATCCACAACGAAAAGTCCTACAAATTTGTTGCTGTGGATTTCAAGGCTAGGCTTGGCGAAGCACAAGAGGAGGAGTACAGGATGAGGAAGTTCGGAATGGGGCAAGAACGAGAGCGGAAACCGCCTAAATAGACTTCTGTCCGCGGCTCGACTCCAGACTTCCAGAAGAAGGAACATCGCCGCTGAACACGGTAGTCTCAAAATAGTACAACTCGTGCTGAACTGGACCACATATTAACGAATAAGAAGTGGTGCTAACTAGATGCCGGTGTGGTACCAACTTCTGCAGTGGTTCTGATCATCGACTTCTTTTCGCTAATATAAGATTCAGTCACAAGCTGGAGAAGACCTCTCAACATCACCCAACGAGCTCGAAGCATGGTATATACGACGGTGTGCTTAATGACGCTTTGTCAAGGACGGCAGGTCTTGGATGACCCGACCGAAGACTATGATGCACTGACTGGTTCGGGATCGCCTCACTTGTGCTGAGCAGGCCGAGCTTCTTTGAATAGATACCTCCACTCGGATGCGACGAAGAACCTTCTCGGATCAACCAAACAAAGATGCAGTTCATGAGAATGCTTGAACGAAAGTCAAACTGAGATCGACGGTGCACCCATCAAAGAGACCTCGTCTCACGTTTATCTCTGGCCTTCCATGAATATGGACGACGAAATGAGGGGAGAACTGGTGAGATGGCAGAAAACAGCGTGGGCAGCCTGGACCTCTGAAAAAAGTCGCAAACCATCTAGCTGACCAGTAACTTCGCGCTAGTCTGTTCGATTCCACAGTTGTTCCTGCGCTCTGTTACTGGTCGGAGGCTTGGGTGACCAGTGCATCTACATCAAGGTCTTTAAGCACTAGTGACAGAGCGCTCGAGCAATGCCTTTCGAGGTCCAACCGGCTCGCTCGATATCGAGCTGGACTCCGATATGCGCCGAATGTGTCGACTTCGCCACCCTAGTGAAATACATGGAAAATGCAGAATTTCGATGAGCCGGTCATGTAATGATGCGGGATGGTGACTGGTGGACAAGGAGTACAGTCGAGTGGGCTCCCGTAAGATATTCACGATCTAAGAGTAGGCCTGCTACGAGATGTGCTTGTCGATCAGCAGTGGAAGCAGCTGAAGCAGCTCCTCACATCGCCATCTTCGTCGAATTCCGAGTCTACCTTGGATGGCGATCGCCAAAGTCAGAAGCGAATGGTTTGTTGCTGGTGCGCGCACATGAGTGAAGACGAGCCGTATAAGTATAGAGATAGAGTACTGGAAGGATTGAATGACAATGATTGCATTCACATCCAGATGATGGATGGTACAGTGAAGGTTAGCAACTGAAGGGTCAGCTACAGAGGGATCAAAAAGGTAGACATTTCTCAAAGGAGAAAAATATAGTTAGGTGGCTGTGCAGGTGGAAAGAAATGCCAAACGATGAGGTTGTGGGAAGACGTTTTTGGTAAATTCCTTTTCTGGACCGTCGCGATCTGATTCAACTAGTTCCTCTGGCGAAATATCTGTTCTCCAATCTTTTCGTTTCTAGCATTAGGGGAGAATAGTCAAGGAAATCGGAAACCCTTGCCCCGGTTATTGCTGAAATTGCAAGTGACATTGTCGCTGTTACTGGTTGTTACTATTCTAAACATCTGAGAATCACAAAACGAAATGCAAGCAGAGCCATCAAAATCGTATCAGTAGACAGACATTGCTCGGGGACTGGCTGGCACCTCAACGTAAGTAAACAGCTACGGTAGGGGTATTTTACGACCTGGTAAATGAAAGTGAACAATGGGCATGGATCACTGATGTTGTTTTTCATCCTGTTGTGATTTCTGTGGTGTTTATGAGCAGAAGACAAGTACAAGATGAGCAGCTGTCAAATAAATTCACAATCAATGACCGATGCAAAAACGCTGAGAATACGAGAATGATGGCCCCTTCGAAATGATGGTTCTCAAAGTTCAAAGAAGGTAGTTCAAATGTTGTAGTGTGAAAGTATGCAGGCCCTATGTTCTTTTCCTGGCACCGCTACTACCACTGTTGGGACTTCCGCATTTTCTTTCTTATCGAGTGCTTTGCTCTGTGGTGGCTACCAGAAAAAAGCCTGGCATCTTATTGGTTAGATGCCCGGATCACTCCGGCAGCGTCACGTCACGAAATAAGCAGTATGGTTCGGAACCCACAGCGAAAGCATTCAACTATCCCGAGAGGTAATGATTTATTCGGTTCACAGCACCTAACAATCGCTTCTGTAAAGCAGGATCATGTACACTTTTTGACATTTCTTGCTGAACTCCCACTTATTTGAAGGAGCAGTTCTTCTAGAAGACCCCNCCCCTTTCAAGTCGCAAAGCGGAAGTATTGGTTGGGAGTAGTGCATGAGTTGTGGAGGAACGAAGAAAACTCGCCGATTTCGGAAAAATGAGGCTCATCGAAAGTAGTGAAAATAGAGTTGGTTTACCACATCAAGCCGGTCCAGAAAAGCTTTTCGCCGTCGCTAAGGGTCATGACAAGTTGTTTGAACTTCCTACATCCCTTGTGGTGGTGCAGTTTCTACAGTGTCGGTGAAACTCGTCCGCGCATACACACCGGATAACCTTTGAGCATTTATAACGCCCTTTATAAGCCGTTTCGTTTTGCCGACCGGACGGCGCCACATGTTGTATATGGGAGGACCATAGATTTATCCCAGTGGAATATCTCATAAGTCACTCCATCGTGCACTGTGCCGTTAAGCAGAGGTGCTTTAAATCTGAGGCTGCTCGTGATTCTCAAAGCGACGCCTTCAGCTACGAAATGGCGGAAACGATGTAAGATTTCATCGCTCGAGGGAATATTTTTGTAATAAAATCAGGCCGGCGACATGACGATTGATTGCCTTGGCGGCAACCTGTTGCTCGACCACGGCACGACATACCGCATACTCTCAGTTACGCGTGGAATACGCTAGAAACCTGAGGGCTTCTTTAGAACTGAATGTCTGAGAAGTGAAGAGGACAGAAAGGGAGGGAAAGGGGAAATCGTCGTAAAGGTCCCGCTACCAAGGTCACGCTACATCCAAGTTAAAGCTGACCCACTGGAACATGTCTTTCTTATAGAATAAGCCGTACTCTAAGGACGTTACTGATTTGTTAGCGGCTTGGTAGGCCTTTTACCTAGATTTTTACCATCCAATGTCGAACTTTACGGAGAAAAGGAAAGGGACGAGAACACCTTGATCTGAATACCTCGTCCGGGCCCAAACTTTTCTCAAGTAGGTGCCTTTAGGCGATTTCAGACGTGACTGCAACTACCAGAATGATTACAAAGGTTTGGAATACGTTCATTTCATCAAACTTTGATGCAGAACAAAAGCAAGTGGTGACGTCTTCCTCCATGTGGCAGTTCTTCAAAACTGTCTCAAGAACGTTTAGAAACATTGTTTTCTCTATTCGCGAGGCAATCGGAGTGGCTGATCTGCAACGCCCATGTTGTTAACTGAGGAGGGCTTAGGATCTGTTCCGATGATGAATGCTCCCTGTACTAGTCTGAATCATTGCCAACTTTGCAGCGATCTTTTGCGGACTTGTAACAGAATACTGCCGCAAGGAAAAAAGTATAGGAAATTCGAAACTTCCGAAATCCACGATTGGGTTGGACATTGTACGGCCTGTCATAGGCATACATCGAAAGCAGTTAAGCGACATGTAGACACTCCATCACACCATCCAACCGCGACTATACAATAGAATTTATAGAAGTTACCACTCCCATATCAGCTTTACCCTAGCCGCTGCAGAATATTTCCTATCTGGCTTCATATTGGTCCACTGCTGACCCTCTCGCCCACAGTTAATAGACAAGTCAGGTGAATATTGTCACAGCTTCTTACTGCCTTTTGCTGAGTATTGTCCCTTTTGTGTGGCTGAGGTGGTGTAAATAGTAGCGAAGGGATCGGCTCTCACACACGCATGGTCCGAGAATCGGATCCCGGCTCGATATCCGTTTGAGTTTACCGAACCTTTCATCCCTTCAAGGTCGGCTACACGGTACCATATATGCTTGCAAACACTGACCCGTACTCTGCTGACCAATTCATTGTATCGGCCAGCCACATATTCGTAATGCCCCGGCGTTCTGAATGGAAGTCGAATGCGTAGGAAGATATCAAACAGGATTGATCAAAGTCGAAGGCTTTATCCGTCATCCTTCATTCTTTCCTTGTCTTCTTCAGAAATTGGGCAGCTATGCCATGGCTTTTCGACAAACTAGCAAGTTATCTCAGGTCTTACTGTCGCCTAGCCGCGTCAGTTCCCTTGAGCTTTCCCAGACATGATTCTGTCTGAGAGACACCTAAATGCAACAGAATTAATGTCAGCAACATTCTGGAAGAAAACTGGAAGAAGGAGAGTAGCTAAGAAGCATTCGCCTGGTCAAATAACTGTGACTATTAGAAATCATAAGAGCACTCTTCAAACAGGAAGAGTGAGGAGTTCTACATTGTCTTCGTCGCACTTTCATAAATGTCCCAGAAGTGCATGTGGAGAACAACAGAGTAGGGTAGGAACGTGCCTAAACCGAAATGCTGATCCTCAAGTCAACCGAAGAGGACACTTCTAGATGGATGGAACTACCACCGGTAGTCATAAAACAAGCGAATTTGCTTGCTTCAAAGAACACGCAGTGTCAGCCACGCGGTTAGCACCGGAGAGCACAGCGGCGCTTCCGATATCTAGCCCATTGAACAGCATGGACCAGGCAATGAAGGCCGTCCGTCTAATGATAGCGTCGCAATAAAACCTAGGAAATAGTTTTTGAAAACCGTTTTAAGAGATTAATGATTCGGACTGCAATCACTCTTTTTCTACTAATGCCTTCCACTTCCACCGTTGCTTGTAATGAACTGTACCTTCGCCACAAATGTTTGCCCATATATCCCTGAGTGCTCCGCATCCACCACTTTACTCCCTGGAATCCATGTTCCAGATTTTCGGGCATATTTTGACAAAATTGATAAAATATCCGAATTCCTTCCAGGGAACTGAAGCAACCTCGTGTTTCACCTATCCTGAAGCCTCATGTTTGGAAACGGGAACAATATCATTGATCGCAAACTTGCTATGCAAGAATTTCAGGGGTAGATCCTCTGACA